ATCTGAAATGGCTACATATGGTATGATTCCATTTATATGAAATTTTGGAAAAGGTAAAACTACAAGATCATATAATCAGGTCAGTGGATGCCAGAGCTTCAGGGTGAGGAAGGGTTGAACCAGTGAAGTACAGGCTCTTCAGGGCAGTGAAGCTATTTGGTATGATACTATAATATTGGATCTATGATATCAAGCATTTGTCCAAACTCAAAGAGCTTTTTAACAGAGTCAACATTAATATATGCAATTTTTTAATATAAGAGGGGAGAGAATAGAATGCAAAATATGATCAAAGAATTGAACGATTACAAATATATGCAATAACAGCATTGAGGAGGATGGGAGGAAGGTGCTTATCTCTGAAAGCATTGAGCCTCAAGATGGAAAACAATACTAATTCTGGTTGATAAAGTGAGGTATGGATCAACAATTCTGAACTACCATCTGAACAATTAAGTGACAAGACGGCAGATTTTGGGAACTAGATTTCTCGGTGCTGGAGTTACAGACAGGAACGAAGCAAAGGCTAAGGGGGTCAGTGTGGTAATGAATTAGAGTTGAAGACATCAAGATGAACTCATGTTTATATTAATACAGATAGAGATGGTCACACATAGAAATATTTATGGATAAATGTATATATACCTGTTACTGCACCAACATATATTTACTTGTTCTGTCAGCTGAGAGGGCCTAGAAGCAGTCACTACCATGGCAATGAACTCATCTACTACCAGGAATTGTTTTCTAATACCTTTCTCCAATAAAGGAACCAAGACTCCCTGAAGAATTAACTGATTTTAAGGCTAGGACATAATATATAAAGATATGCCCAAAACATCTTGTGTGTTAAAAAGTAAGGAAGTGTGGGTATGTCAAAGTAACATACAAGCCATCATAAAAAGTTCCTAATGGCTAAAGCTGGAAGAATTTGAGCAACAGAATAAAGTAGTATTGGAATATAATCCAAAGTACAAAACAGATTTTCATGAGTCCATACAAATACAACGAAAAGATTGGATGAGTAAATGAATGGGTGGATGAATAAATAAACAAATAAATAAATGGGAGAGAACAGGCAATTCCCTCATGCAGAAGAATTCCAAATAATTTATGTAGATACTTATGACCTTAAAAGGTATCCTTAAGTTTAATGAGCAAGAGTGACTTCTTTCCAGAGAGTATGGAAAGAAAAACAGAGGAAAAAGTGAGATATTGACTCAGCCAGGATATCCAAGTCAAAATCACCAGTGAAAAGTCATATTGACTGTATACATGCACCATTGGTATGATGTGAAAGGAAAAGAATGACATTTTACCTCTACTGTCTTCCTCCTAAAGCCTGATAACTCCAATCTAACCATGAGGAAAACATCAGACTAATTTCAGTTCAGAGACATTTTATAAAATACCTGATGAGTCTTCCTCATAATTCTCGAGGTCATCAAAAACAATCACCAGCACTGCAAGAAAACAAAACAAAAACCAAACAGTCTGTGAAGGTATCACAGCCAAAAGGAGTATTCAGCTCTCCAAAGTTGTTGACAACTTTAAATCACTAAATTTTGGAATGATTTGTTAGGTAAGCATAGATAAACTACGATAGCTTAATAAACAAAACAATACTAGTTATAGAAAGATAAAGGCTACACAAATAGTATACTAACTGAATGGAAAATTATGTGCTGAATATATCATTAATTTTAAAAACCATAGTTATGATTATATAATTAGAAAAAAAGATAATTGGATATAAAGAATATTAAATATATAATAAATTATGTTACATATATTACATATAACATGTCAATTATATGCATGTGTGTATACACATTTTTTTCATTCAAATATAATGATCGATCATTTGCTAATGCCAGGCACAGTGCTGGCCCTAAAGGATGTGTTTGATCACTTTTCCTTTTCAATATTGAACAACTATATGTATTTCTCTCCAAAATAATGGCTCATTGTAATGGTGGAACCTCAATTAGTAAAGTTACATCAGTTGCCTACTCAAACTTCATTTCTTACCTTCATCCCTACTAACAGACTCTGATTTGTCAGTGTGCCCATTTAAATTACATTTCTCAGCTTCCCTTGTTGCCAGGGATGACCATGAGGCAACTTTGACCATAAAGACCTAAACGGAAATTGCTATACGGGCACCTGGGAAAGTCTTTCAGGAAATAGGTTTTTGTGTTTTGGTTTTGGTGCTGGGGATTGAATCCAGGGCCTTATGCATGCTATGCAAGCACTCTAACACTGAGCTACATCCCCACTTCAGGAAAGTCTTAAAGAAGGAAATAGACCTAGACTCTGATTTAGTACCCTAGAACTAGGCATCTGAAGGCACATTCTTTCCCTGTGGCATATATGCAGACTTTCTTTACACTGCTGCCCCTTCTCAGAGGCTTTGCTATATAGCATGCTGGTTTAGAACAACAACAAATGGCTTCCCACAAAGACACATAATTAAATGGTAACAGGTAACCTGAAGTTCCATATGAGGGATTCTTCTCCAGAGCCTTTCATAGCAAAACTGATTATGTTACTCTTCCAATAAAAACTTTCAGGGATAGCTGGGATTGTAGCTCAGTGGGTAGGGAGCTTGTCTCAGACCTGTGAGGAACCGGGCTCAATTCTCAGCACCACATAAAAATAAATAAATAAAAAAATATTGTATTTATCTACAACTACAAAATATTTAAAAAAAAAAAAAACTTTCAGAGACTCCTAACAAACATTCTTATTGTTGTAGCAAAACAAATTATTTTACTTTAGGAAAATAGATAACTGCAAATCTGTAATAAGCTTTTCACTTGGCAGTATGTATGTCATTTTAGTTTTTGTTGTTGTTGTGGTTTAGACCTTTATTTTATTTATTTTAATGTGGTTTCCAGGATCAAACCCAGTGTCTCACATATGCTAGGCAAGCGCTGAACCACTGAGAAACAACCCCAGCCCACCATTCTAGTTTTTATTAAATTTTTATGTAGGCCTTTTTCTAGATGTAAACTATTTCTTCTTTTCTTTTTTGCATACTAGAGTATGGAACCCAGGGGCTCTTTACCATTGAGTTATATCCCTAGCCCCTTTTGAGACAGGGTCTCACAAAGTTGTCCCTGCTGGCCTTGAACTTGCATTTCTCCTGTTTCACCTCCTGAGTGGCTGGGATTATGGGTGTGCACCAACTCGGTTGGCTTTCTGTAAACTTCTTAAGGGCAGAGACACATGAGGGACATTTTAAAGTTTCTCATAACACTTAGATGCAGCACATAGTCTAAGTGGTGGCTGGTCACTGGAAAATGATTATGTTAATTCTGTCACTTTGATTCCTAGCTTAGAATTGAAAATTGCATCTGTATAGAATGTTATAATATACATAATTTTTAAAAACTGGAAAATTTCAAATATATACAAAAGTAAAGAGTATAATAAACTCCTTTAAATTCACGACTCAACTTCAATATTTATCAATACCTTCCTTTCTTCTTACCAGAACATTTTAAAGTAAAATTGGACATCTATCATGCAAATTCATACATACTTCAGTGTATCTCTCTCATGGATGAGGACTTTTAAAAAATATTTGTAATACTATCATACCCAATATTAATAATTTCTTAATATCTTCTAATACCTAGGTCATGTTTGGCTAGATCTATTACACACAAAAAAATGCATTTTTACGATTGATTTGTTCAAATAAAAATTAAAATTATATTTGTTGGGCATGTCTTCCCTTCTTGACTCCCTGTCTTGAGAGAGGGTATTTTTATGTTGTCTAGGTTGGCCTCAAACTCACAATTCTCTCACCTTAGTTCTCCCAAGTTGTTGGGATTACAGGCATGCACCATCAACACAGGGTTTTAAATCTTTTTTTAAAAAATTTTATTGATTCTTTTTAGTTATACATGACAATAGAATTTATTTTGACATAATATAAATGCATGGAATATAATTTGTTCTAATTAGGTCCCCAGTACTTTCCCTCCTTTCTCCTCCTGCTTCCTTCCCTGCTCCATTCCCTCTATTCTACTGATTGTTCTGCTATCTAATTATAGCTTTTTTTAAAAAAAATCTATGAAAATTCCCTTCTCCTGGCTTTTTAAAATTTTTGTTTATTTTTTTAGTGGTACTGGGAATCAAACCCAGGGTCTTGCACTTGCTAAGCAGCTGCTCCACCACTGGCCCTCTCTGTCAGTCTTTTAGATACCAGTTTTTGTTAAAGAAGTTAGGTCCTACTGAATTTTCTGTATTTTGGAATTGGTTGAGTATACTCCCTGGAAGCCTTTTAACATTTTCTTCTATCCACTTTATTTCTTACAACTGGTAGTTTAGGTAGAGAGGATTGATGAGATTCAAGTTCAAAAAATATTTCTTTTTGGCAAGAATACTTCATAGTATAGCATATTGAGAGACACATAATGTTTGTTTGATTGTCACACTTTCAATGACATTGAGAATGATCAGTGGGTTCAGGTCATATCAGCATTAAGTCACCCATTATAAATTCCCTCTTCAACCTTTCACTTAATTGTTTTAGCAAACATTGATGATCATTACTTACAGCCATTGCTTCAGTTAGGGTTGAAACAATTATTCTTTTTTAGTTTGTTATTTTACTTAGGAAATCTTGCCTACTAACCCATGACCTGTTTTGCAATTCTGTACTTAAACATACAGATAACATTTAAATTCCTTCATGTAGTCTTCCCTGTTTGCTAAAGGGCAGGACTTCTATCCACCTGGCATCTCTTATATTCTGCTCTGCCATAAAATTTCATCTGTCAGTCTGCAAACCCAGGAGGGCCCATATATGTCCTTGGGATCTATGTATCACTATAATTTTCAGCACAGTGCTCTGAATATAGCAAGTGTACAAAAAATATGTGAAAATGTTTTGATGAGGTGAGTATTCAGATTAAAAATCCCCAATGCATACAAACACAAGAGCTAGATTCCAAAATGAAAGATACACACACATACACACAAAAATATACATGTGACACCACAAATTTATTAAATACACAGAGAAGAACAAACCCAAACTTTGACAATATCCACAGAGTTTTCCACAGTCTTTCAAAAGTTAACAGAAATAAGGGATAATTGAGGGGACATAAATTCATAATTCACGAAACAACGTAGCATACTCAGTTTAAGAATTACACTGAGGAGTTAAGACTATAAAATGGCAACATCCCATAGATATTTTAAAATTTGTATTGGTATTTATTTACAATATGGATATAGGTCCTCAAGGACTCATAGAGCTGTAGGTAATGAACTAGATTATGTAGCTGGGCTTTTTGTCTGTTAGATAAGCTCATCCAATGACAATAAAGTCTTACAAAGTGGACAAAACCGCAATAGAAACTGTTTGACCGCACAGAGCCCTTTAAACAAAACATTGCTCACACAAATCCTACATCCAGGGATGCTTATCTTAATCTGCTATTCCTATGCAGAGAATACTTCTGCCAATTGCAATCTGTTTTCATGTGGCATTCTATCTCCCAATTTCTATCCACAGAATTGAGAATGTGGTTTCGTGGCATATTGCTGTTAGTTCATAGGCACATCAAATATTCTAGACTTCAGGAAGGTTAGGAAAGGTGATGCTATGTGGGTCATAAAAAAATAAATCAAATTCCCTGTTTTATCTTCAATTTTTTTTTCCTTCCTTTCTGTCTTTACCTTACTTGGGTCTCCAGGAACTGTTATGTATGTATAGCAGCACCTACACACCTTCAGATTTTTAGCATTTTTAGTTTGGATTCAAAGAACCAAAACAGAAAACACTCAAGGAGTCATGAGACCTTTACGGTGGTAAAAACTGGAATAGCTGTTTCTTTTAGTTCTGCTCTCCTGTTCTTTCTTTATTTTTAGTAGGAAATTCCCTCCATTTACCGACCCTCACCTTCTCATACTGTAAGCAAGTGAGATCATAAAGGTCAGTTAGTGAGAAATAACCTTATGAATCTGGTAAGTGTGAAGACAAAAGGTCATAGTATAGTCATGAGCCTGGGGGAGTCAAAGAACAACCGATATTACAATCAGTGAAAACTCAGGCTTTGTTGTACAATAAGTATCACCGTGTGTTATACAATAACTGGGACTATAATTGCTAATTGTTCAAAGTCCTTTGCACATAAACAATCCTTCAAAATTGAGCATAAATATAACAATAACAACAAAAAGCACAAAGGAAAGGTTCACAGATGTCCAAATACTGCAGTTCTTGGACAAAACTATCGATTGGTAGTTTTGGTTATCCAATAAGATAATGTGAAAACAATAGCATATCACAAAGTAGCCACTTTAGAGAAAAAAGCAAAAACCTATGACAAATGAATTTCAGCACTTCATTATATGGTGTGTAGGTCTGAAAAAGAGAAATCCAGGCTAACTCACAAAATACTTTATTCACGTAGTATCTCTCTAACAATAAATATGTAAATCTATAACTATAATTTGTCTCTCAAAATTTGTCTCTTTATTTATATAACCAAATCTTCCCCCAATACTCTCTTGTGCCACCTCCTGCCTCCAGTTGCTTCATAAACCACTCTAAACCCTATCTGGATACTGTGTATGATGAGTGGTCTAAAATTATTTATGCTTTAAAGGTACCTGCAGTATGCTAATCATATGAACATTTCCGTCTTTAAACAATGTATACTTAGCCAAGATAATTCTTTAAACCATGACAATATCACAAAATGACATTATAATATAACGGACAACAGATTTTTCCCTACTGAACTACATAGTATTTTCTTCATTGATACATTCACCTTTTTTTCCAGAGATATACAGAGTTAATTGCAAATTTGTAACAGCTAAGTGTTCATTAACCCATCCAAGCAAATCCCCTTGCTTCCAAAATAATATTAACTCTACCTTAGTGTCAAGTGCCTCAGGGTACTAACTGGAAGGAATTCTCATCAGCAAAAGTGGTGGAAGCTGCTCAAGAAGATACATTAAAATTTATCACGAGTGATTTTTAAAAGTGACTGATCCCAAATTCATGTTTATCAGTGTTAGTGCTTTAGAATAAGAATTGACCTCTAAAATAAATACTGTGTCTTCTGAACACAATCAACAAGTGACAGAGCCCGAGTCTACAGTGGAGGTTTCCAGCCCCAGCAGAAGGAATCTATTGTACTCCATGGGTCTCTGTCCATGCTCAAAATATCTAATATTTTTCATCTATACTGGACGTCTTTGAAGAGTACTATATTGCTTCACATCCTTCTTTCACTGTAACAAAGCATATTAAACAAAACTTTTCAGTTCAGTTTAAAAGCAGCTGGAAAACCTATGGCTGCTCTAGGCTCTCATTATCAAAAGACTTATCTGGGAACTTTGGATTCTCAAATATCAGAAACTCCAATAACTTATCAAAAAATACAAGCTCTTGATTTTGAAAAATATACAAAATCATGGCATAGGCAAATATATCTTGATTGTCAAGGAAGACAAGACATCAGTCTCAATCATGCTGTGCTTGTATTTTAGTGATGTTTGTTTTTGCAGTTTCCATTATTTACACTTTTAGGCAATCTCTGACCCTTGGTGTAAGCACGGTACCAAAAGTGGAGAAAGAGCAGCAGAAAGATGAACCCATAACTCATAATAATGTAGAGAAAGACTGGAAACTGGTACTTGCAATCCTCCATGAAAAATATCTGGCCTATGTGGATGGTGACAATAACAAACTGCACCTAAAAAAAAAAATCAAAGAATAAAAAAAAACATTTAGATATGAAGAGTTAACAATTCTTTTCCTACTAATGTTTATACACTCCTCACCCAAATCTGGGCCAGGGACGTTCACCTTTAAATCTAGCCTCCCTGGGAGTAGAAATGGAGGGCATAATATCAAAATACAGATGGGAGTTTGGAACCACTGTGCAGACCTGCTGAACAGTGCACCTCCAGGGGGTCCCACTTAAATGTCCACTGGAGTTGTACTCCTCAGAGAACCAGCAGGGCAGGTTTTCTTTGGCAGTCTGAGTCCTTTACTCTGACAAAATGTACATAGGACCACTACTCATGGCCTAATTTTCCATACTGGTTTCAAATTTCCAATATTCTCTCCTTCTGTTAGACCAAGTATTTCAATTTTTGGAAAATAAAAATATTCAAATTAGAGTTCCTCTAATTTTGTAGGAACCAATACATCCCTCAGTCCTCATATCTGCCATGTGTCTCACATTGTCACACATAAAAATAGTTCCAGATGCCAACTAGGTGTAGAATTAGCAAGGACTTAGAGGGTACTCGTGTCCCCCTAGTGATACTCAAAGGCTTTCTGGACTGGATCATTCTATGCATTCCTAACAGGCTCCTTTTCTATGCCAATGTCAGACTTTGGGATATATATATTTGTCCCTGATTAAAAGGGAACATTGTTCTAGGGAAATTTAAGAAAATAATATTCTATAGAAATAAATAACAATTACAATTCATCTAGTTACAACCATGGTTAAGATTTTCAGTTTCTTTTATAACCATTTTATTGTTATCATCATCCACTTTCTTTGAATTATTTTAATGAACTTTTCTTACATTCCTGCCCAGTAGCTATTATTCCTTTCATTTAATAGAAGAAGGAAAACTTAAGATCAAGTAAGCTCTACACTCCTATGCCTGTGTGTGTAGATGACTAACATTTGAAATAATCATCAACCAATGTCTACCCTTCACTTCTACATAAAAATTTTTCTACTTTACTAAAATTTTTTTCAAAAAATTAAAGAGTGTGTTAAGTGAAAACAAAGACAAATACAAAATTGTTTATGTAGTATAATATAAATCATATAAAATGTACACACATGTGCATAAAGGAGAAAGCTGAATAAGAACAAAATATAATTTTCAGTATTATAATCTCTGGGAGGTGGAATTATGCTTGTTTTATTTCTCTTTGGCTAATTAGGTGGTGTAATTTCTCTGCAATGAGCATATATCATTTAAAATAAAAAATATTTTTAAAAAAACAACAGTAAATAATTTTCATAACTTCATAGAATTTCAAAGTATATGAAACTTATGCCTCTATTTCCTTATGTCTGGTCATTTAGGTTGCTGCTAATTTCAGATAAGATAAACAACTGTATCTAAGGAGAGTATCTTAGAGGAATCTACTAAATTTTACTCAGCAAGTTGTAGGATTTTAATAAAAAAAAATTTATCCTTAATAGTCTACGTATAATTACATTCATAGTTTCCCCTTGGCATTGCTGGCAGAATATGACATCCAATTTATTATAGACTACAAATTTGGAAATATGAAGTTAGCAGAAATCTCCTTTTAATAGAAGACAGTAACACTTAAAGCAAATAATTATCTTGTACCCAAAGTTATAATTTTAAAATTTATAAGCCTTATATATTTTAGGATTAATGCTTAAGTATCATTTGGTGTGAACTGAGTACCTCTGCTCTTTGAAACACTGTCTATGTGAGGTCAGTACTCCAAAATGTACATCACACATGTATGTTGATTTACTGCTGTATCCTTTAATCGTCACAATACATTTCTTTATTGGAGGAAAGATATACTTATGAATGTTAGGAGTAGATAGGCATGCAGAAAGGCTTGTCATTCCCTCAAATTAGAGTGAGGATATGGAATTTCTAACTTCTAATTTAGTATTAAGCCTATTGAGGGTCACATAACTTTGAGGTTGGTTATTTGCTTGTTTTGTAGTGCTGGGGATGAAACCCAAGCTTTACATATGCTAGGCCAGTACTCTACCACTGATCTATAGCCCAGTCCATATTTTTTTAAATGAATGTTGAGATAGCATACAGAGGGTATAAGATACTGATGCTGATTTAATTGTTTAAACCTTTTGGTTACCAAATATGCTTTCTTTTCAATGAACTTCCTGACAAAGTTCAAATAACATCAAAAGGATAGTGTGTGTGGGGGGGGGGCTGGGGTTGTGGCTCAGAGGTAGAGCACTCGCCCAGCATGTATGAGGCATTGTGGTTTGATCCTCAGCACCACATAAAAAAAATAAAATAAAGATTTTTAAAAAAAGGATAGTGTCATATAGGGGCCAGAAAGTATACCTATGCCATTTCATAAATTTTGTTCTATATTTAGCAAGTATTCTAATTCACAGCAAAAACAAATGACTGCAGTTTATTTCATATCTGGTTTTAAAGAAAGTTAGTTACTCACAAGCTGTAAAGATGTCAAATATTTTTTCCACCACAAATACTTCTGGTAGGCTGGTCCCATTGCACAAAGTCCATAGTAGAAATACATGACTACGTGCACAGCTGTATTTACAAAGGCATGGAATGTTCCCAAACCACCTGGGAAAAAAAAGTTATTATAACCTGGGGGTGTTATTCCTTAAAATCAGACACATTTTTGTCTGACCTGAGATTTTAGTATAACTATTTCTTGAATTTTAGAAGGAAGAAAGAAAAGAACATATAAAATATCAATTATGTTAAACAGTTATCAAACTAGAGAGAGCTTGGTACTATATTTAATAAAATACAAATGCAAATCAGGAAAAAAATCAGTACATTTATTTATTATATTCTAATTTAAGAAGGTTTTTTGATTTTGGCTTACTTTAACAAACTGAGTTATCTCCTAAATATGATACTTTGTTTAATAATAATCAAAATCTTCTTTTAGTGAAGGTTAACACATATAAAGTACACAAAGTACATTAATGTTAAGTGTTCAACTTCAGGTTTTTCATAAATACACCCACATGACCAACACAAAGATCAAGATATAGAATATTCACAATACCACATAGAGTCAGTCCTATGTGCCCTTCCCAAGGTAACCTCTTATTTCTATAAATCACTCTTAATTTTGCCTGTCATTAAGTTTTATATAAATGGAGTTACATGGGAGGTACTCTTTCATGTCTGCCTTCTTTCAATCAGCATAATGTTTTTAAGATTCATGCACATGTTGGTGTGTGTACACTAATACTTGTCTTTTTACTGTTGGCAGTATTACACCATGTGAATGCATCAATGTTTATTCAGTCTCCTGCTGAAAGACACTTGGGTCATTTCCAATTTGGGCTATTAATAAAAAGATTTCAAAGCATATTTTTATACAGACATTGTGTGGAATCAAATCTACTTTTCCCACTCTCATTAATTTACATTAAATATTTTTAGAGTCACAAAAATACTGGCAGTAAAACCATTGGCTTCCATTAGTAGGCTCTGCTAAATTTGCTTTAATCAATTATTGTTTTTTTCCAAAATAAACATCTATTAACTGTTCAACCATCCTTGCTTACTAGCTCGATTTGATTATGCCTTCTTATCTTGGTTTTCCTCTTTTAATTTCACCGTCTTTAATTTAGAGGAAGAGCCAAGAACACTTGGAAATGTAAGAAAAGATCTTTTAATTGTCTTTAGCTATAATAGTAGTCACTGGAAGAGGTTGTAGGGAGTTTAGCTGATGGTAGGGGAAAAAAATCCCCAAAAGTTTCCTGAGGGTCTCTTTCTGAAGAGGCACAATGTAAGAAAAATTGGCCTTCTTTATGTACAGTCTGACTTATTAATGTTCACCTGGAATTTAAAAATTTTCTCCAAAATATTTTTTGTCTTATATACCACAATTCTTTGATTCAAGAAATAAAACAAACCTCACATATTTGAACTAATTATGGCAGAGGAAGGACTGAAATCATAAACACTATGAATTACAGAAAGTTTAAAGGAAAAACACAAATTTAACACTTTTAACATAATCATCTAAGAAAAATGTCATAAAATTATTGCATATCATAAACAAACTATTATTTGATAATTTTTCATACCAGAGGCACTTCTAGATACTTCTGAATAGTACCTCTGCTAGAGTACTCCCTTCAAGTGACCTGTTCTACATAATTACTTTTGAGTAGTTAAATCTTCCCCTAAAGCATATTTATGCTATTTTGCTCTGCTTTGTAAACATTTTATTCCTCAGTAGAGTAAATCATATTTTAGCTAATCCTTCAATTTCCACAAATTTTAGAAAAAACAATTAATGAAGCTTATTAACAACTCTCAGCTTTTATTATTTAAATTTGGATTAGTCTTATTTCCCCCAAAGAAACTTGAATAAATAAATAAAATATTGTGGTGTGAAAACACCTTTTCTAGGGTAATTTAAAAATAGAGCAGTTTTCTACTTCTGATAGCTTAGGAGTCCAGTTGCTTCACAGAGGATAAGCCAAATACCTCTCAAGTCCACTTATGTGACATGATAATATGCCCACAGGAAGTCTATGTCAGCCTTCATAAAGAACCATATCAGAGCCTTTTTGCACTCACACTCCTCCCCCATTATATGATAGAGGAGCAGCCATTTTCCTTTTGGATACTTTGATCATTTAAATGTCCTAAGATGAGAATCCTGTGACAGGGACTGAACAAAACACTGGTGTAGCTAAGAAGGTTTAGTAAAGCCTACTGATCAACAGAAGCTATACAATAAAATCCACTCGCTTTTTTTCTCCTGTAATGAATATTTTCTAAGTTATTTCAATATGTTTCTTCATAGAACAATCACATCTTAATTAGCAATGCTTTTTACTTTGCTATTTGAAGTACCTACTGAGTTTGCTTCCTTTATGAGAAGAGGTCTAAAAAACAACCACCTCAGAATGAATTAATAAAATCAGTGCCATCACATTATACTCCTTTGGTTTGAAAAGAAATAAAGGAATCACCTGGGTAATTATCACAATTTTCCATATTGCTCAAAAGGGGTACATACATAATTAATACAAAAAAACTGCCACAGAAATATTTTCATTATATCCCAAAGAAGGGCACATGATGCAAACAGGAAATTAAACACTAGACAGAGATCAGCTGTACTCAAGTTTTTGACAAACACTTAAACTTAAACTTAAACCAGACAGTTTCATTCTAGGAATGGAGGCCAGTGCCTCTCTGCACCTCTGGAAATATCTCCTGTTGCTGTGCTTGCTACTGAATAGACATCAGGTAAGCTGTTCAAGTGTTTACTAGAATTTTACACCTCAGAATGAGTGGGAATGACAACTCATGAAACATACAAGAGACCAGAAAACATTATCTTCTATATTTTGTAAAAAAGGGGGACTAAGGTTTGAACAAGGGATCCATTATAAAGTGAATGATATCCATACACATGTTAACATTTAAAAATTGGGGTATATTATATATTCAAATTTTCATTATTGAAAGCATTACTTGTTTTTGAAATGGAAATTTCATCTGTGAGCTAAAAAATTAAAGTGAGAAAATAACTCCATTATTTAAATAAAATTTACGTTTTATATATATAAAATTTTATATATCAGATATACAATACAGAAAAATGAGAAAATACAGAGAAGGAAAAAGAGAAGAAAAACCAGTTTTTATTTCAATATCTCCAAATCAATACTCTGGAGCATTGCTTTGCAATGTTTTTTCTATTTCTATTTATTTGTCAGAGTTGTAATATAGTGTAGCTGTCTTTTGGAACCCAAGGAGATTGGTTCCAGGACCCCCTGGGGATACCAAGATGTATGGATGTTCAAAGTCCCTTAGATAACATGGGATGGTATTTACATATATTCTATGCACATCCTCCCATATCCTTTAAATCATCTCTGGAGTACTTATAATACCAAAAAAATGTAAATGATATGAAAATGGTTGTTAAGTTGTATTGTTTAGGAAATAATAACAAGATTTAGCATAGATGTAATTTTTTTTGCATATTTTAGGTTCATAGTTGGTGAAATACATGGATAAAGAATCCATAGATATGGAAAGTCAACTGTATTCTAGTCTCATGGAAGAAAAGGACATAAATTATAAGGATACAGAAACGTCTTTACTAGCATTCTTTAATATAAAATAATCATTTTCTGATAATTAGGAGTTAAGCTGCCTAATGGAGAAGATGAACTAAATACTTCTCAATATCATTTTGTTTCATGGTATTTATACACATAAAAAATAAACACTCTACTACTAGGCAATGTTCAGGTATTTTGCAATTTTTCATCAACACAAATAAGGTGTTAATGTAGATCACTTAAGAAAAACCTAGAGACACAATGTATATGTGAGAGAAAAAAATAACAAAGATAAGTAAAATAACAAAGATTAAATACTATAGCTACATTTGATTTGTGAAATGGACACAGCTAAAGACATCTTGTTAGAAAGTGAATTAAATATTTATATTAACATGCATCATAAGAAAAGGAGTTATATTTACTTTAAAATTTTCTTAACATATAAATGCCAACTTGGGACAAAGAAGAAAATTTTATGTACTGGGAAATCCAATGCCCACAGGCCCTGTAGGGAAAATCCTTTACCCACATTTCTCAGCCCTAGTGGCTTTTCTAGGTTGATGCCTAACTGAAATGAGCTATTCACAGAAATATTAAAGCATTGTTTCGTATGAGCTATAAGCTTATTTGAAGAATTCTTAAATTTAGGAAATTAGGCTAAATAAATCTTACCTTGCTAAGGTAAGAATATGTCCGTGGGGGATACTGCTTATTTAAGACTTTATGATGGGATAAGATTACTGCCTATTTTCTCCATTTCTAGATATTCAAAAACATAAAACCAAAATGAAACCAACAAAAGAGGCTGTTTGTCAAGTTTTTGTTTTAAACTATTTTTGACTTTAAAAACACCAGAATGCTTTGAGAAGTTAAGCTAACTAAAATTTGACCCATTTTTAAAGAGTTGTTAGGTGCTGGGGTATGCCATTGTTTGAATATGTGTCTTTCTCCAAAGGTTCATGTGTTGGAAGCTTGGACCCAACATAATATGTGCTGAAAGGTGGTGGGACCTTTGAGAGGTGGGGCCTACTGGGAGATGACTGGGTTATGACCATCCCCAGGAAACTGTTATTGCTGGTTTTTCACGAGTGGATTATTTCCCTCCAGATCAGGTTTATTACAAAAGAGTGAATCAGGACCTTCCCTAGTCTCTTGCTTCTTCTCTTGTCATATCACCTCCCTCTAGCATGCATTCCCGCCATGATGCTACTATCTGCCATAATATGACACAGAGGGCCCTCACCAGAGCCAAACAAATGAGACTAAACAATTCTGGACTTTCAGTCTCCAAAACTGTGAGCTAAAGAAATACCTATTTGTTATTTATCAACCAGCTCCTGATACTTTGTTACAGCAACACAAAATTGACCAAGATGGCATATATGTAAGTTATTAGGAATTTGAAGGCAGATAAGACATGGGAACTTGAGATAAATATTCTGACTTCCTGGGAACATATAAAAAATAGTTACCTAACTAGAGTCCTAGGCTTTTTACCATTTTACATATTCACTGTTTATTTATTTAAAGACAAGTAATAGAACTCTTTGGGAAAAGAATAAAATCCAAACAAAACTAAAAACATTTATATAAGACTGTGCCTCTAAATCATGTGTACCTAAAGATTTTGGGAAAAAGTCTAACTAACAGTCCTATGTTTACATATCAGGTAATAATTTGAAAGTCACAAGTTAACCAAAGTGACTCTTTGATTTTTTTTGTTTCTTATAAAGTATATTTAAGGATAAATTTTTTTATTTGTAGCATACAGAAATGTTATCATTCATATCACATGATCCCAGCTCTCCCTTGGCTACCTGCAGCAAATTTGACTCCAAACCACCAGGTCCATGGCATGATGGTATGATGGAAGACATGAAGGAAAGTCACTTGGCTATTTTTCTTACGCAGAACAAAAAAGATCTGAAATAATTTAAAGATAATCAAGTTCATAAAAATCATGCAATAATTTATTGAATATTACCAAAAAATTGGCAAAGAGCAAACTACTTCACATCATGATTTGCTTTGAAATAACTGCCTTATGGAAAGGTTATAGAATTAGCTGTTTCTCTGAGTGGCAGCTCGAAAGCTAACATATGACTAGCTGGGGATGATATCTCATCATGGGAGAACCAATAAGAAAGTGAAAAGAAATTTTATGCAGATATAAAAAAAATCAAAGATATAAAGTGAAGAATTTGGCTAAAAAATGATTGAAAGAAAGGCTATTGGTTAAAAAAAATTCCAAAGGCCTTTGAAGTTTATGGGAAACTAAAAGTCCTTAATTCTCAGGACTGAAATTATTTTTATTCAACATTGCTCTCTGATACATCCTATCAATCTGGAATAAGGGATGAGGCAAACCAAGAGAGAGGTACAACATATCAAAAGATAGAAAGTTAATATAAAAGGAAGATAAAGAAGAGTTAATTTTAAAAATACAAGGGCAAAGAAAGCAAAGTTGTATAAGAAAAATGAGAAGGGCAACAGACATACCATTCAGATCGTGCGAACTAGGGGGTTTGTAGAATCTTCACAAAATGAAAAGCAGAATTTTGGGGGGGAAATGTTCAAAAAATATTCACAATACCTGAACTTAAACTAAGATATATTTTAAAATTCAAGACTAAACAGAATAGTGCAAAGAAAAGTATTACTGTAGTAGGAATAGTTGAGAAAGGTAGTTCATAGACGAATATAGAAGCAGCAACAGTTTCCTTGCAGAAGCTGGAACTGAAAACATGCAAAGCAGAATCAATGAAGCAAAAATGCATTTGTTTATGCACATGGAAGAATGAAGCCTGGTACAGCAGGAAAAGCCATAAATTAGCACTCTGGGTCCTGGTCCCAGTCAGTAGTAGCATTCCTCTGATAAGTCACTGAATTTTTAGCTTAAATTTTTTTCTGAGTGAGGACTCTAGAATACCCTAGGTGTGTCTTATAATATCCAAGCATATTTTTAAAATAGCCATGTTTGGTCTCTACGCCAGACCAACTGACATCACATCCCTGAAGGTAGAGTCCACGTTTTGTTGTTTTTGTTCCTAGTGCAATTAATTCTATGGCACTATGAAGACTAAGAACCATTAGACTATGACAAGGAGGTTCTCACTTTAAAGTGTGGCCCTTGGATGAACAGCATTAGCATCATCTGAGATCTTGTTAGAAATGTAAATTCTTGAGCACCATCTAAAACCCATTAAATCAGAAGCAAGGGGTCCAGGCATTTGTGGTTTAAAAAACCTTCCAGGTATTTCTAACACATTAAAGTTTAAGAGCCACTAGATTCTAATTTCACTAAAGTCTCTTCCAATTCTATCTAACATAATAAGATTAGTCAACTGAGAAGTCGAAACATGTTAAGATTTCCTATAAGCTCAGGGACAGTACACACTTGTCAACCTCAAAATCAGAAAGGATTCCAAGTAACTAAGATATATTTGCCAGGGAGATACAGTCAATATTCAGCTTCTGGAAACAAAGGCTCATGGCTTTCTTCTCTTATTATTGACACTAATCTTTGTCACTCTAATCTTTGATATTTGCTTCTCCCTGGACCCAGTCATCCAAATACAGAGTTGATCCTCACCAGGATCTCATAGGAAGAGTTAGGGCCAAAAGCACACAGTTCAGAAAGACAGTTTGAGAAGTCCTGGTGTTCCCCCAATTCCTCCTACCCCAGTGGTAATCTTACATCCAAGTGTAACCTTAGGAAATTTGAAGCACTTATCCTCTTAAAGGAGTGTGGAGGAACATTGCTTTGGTAGAAAAAACTAAAGGGCTCCGTTCTTTGCTTCATGAACTTTCTTCATAAAACTACACTACCATCGACATAAAGATGTATAGTTTTTGGAGAATAAGTGAGAATTAAATGCTTAACTTAATCAGGTGTTAAATACCTTTGGGAGTTTGTGAAATATTGGAAAATAAGCTTATCCTGCTGATTCTAGTAAGCTACTGATAATAAAAGGTAAAAGAGATAAGAGTAGGTCTACCTGAGGAGAAATAGCCCAAGTTATTAGACAACTGAACTAGAGCACTTTATTGCTTTCATTGAAACACCAAATATTTACCAAATGTGGTGACCACATACTCACAGTGTCTAACAGCTCAATAAATTTGGAGAAGTAATAAAGCCAGCAGGTGTGTGCCATCTGCAAAAATACACACAGTTATGAACTCATTTTATTATATTTTTAGCATGGACAAAAGTTTATTAATTTTTTTTATAAAATAGACGCAACAAATTTATCACCTTAACCATTTTGGGCATGCAGTTCAGTGGAATTATATTCCCACTGTTGTGCAACTATCATGACCATCCATCCAGGAATTCTTTATTTTCTAAGATTGAAACTCTGGACTCATTCAAAAATAACTTCCCATTTCCTCCCTTCCCTCCAGTCCAGCCATCATTCTATCTTCTGTGACGAGGTGACTACTCTAGGTACCTCATATAATCATGCAATATTTACCCTTTTGTGACTGGATAATTTCAGTTAGCATAATATCCTCAAGACTCAGTCATGTTTTAGCATGAGTAAGAATTTCTTTTCTTTAAAAGGCAGAATAATATCCCTCCCTGTCCCCTGTCTACCACATTTTGTTTCTCCACTCATCCCTCCATAGACACTTGGTTGCTTCCACCTTTTGGCTCTAATGAATAATGCTGCTGTAATAGAGAGTATTCAAATATCTCTTTGAGTTCCCCCAAATTCCTTTAGGTATATATACAGAAGTGGAATTTATAGACCTTACGATAATTATTTTTGCATTTTTCTGAGGAACCTGATATAAATTTATTTTTAAATTGGAGAAATTCATAGAAAAAGCACTTATTTTCATTTTACATAAACAACACACTGATTATTTCCTTTAATTTTTAGTTTTTTTCCCCCCAACATATACAATCTGATAATGGAATCATTTAGTCATTCTGAGTTCACAGTCATTATTGCAAATAGAGTCCAAAAGGTTTTAATTTGGAATTACAAGTTTTCAATTTGGAATTATAAGTTTTTCCAAAGAGAAACTTACCCTTAAAAAAACTTACCCTTAAAGCTGTGGGTGACCGTGAATAGTCAACAATTTCACATTGAAATGAATAACCTGTACCCCAGCCAGACATCACAAACTGCAAGAAAGCACATGCATATCAAAGAAGGAAGTGTTTGCTCAACAGCTACAACAAAGGTAGTTTTGATTGTGTCTCCATTAGTTTATCAGCTGAGTAAGCAGTCAGTGCAGCAGAGAAGGCGGTTTCAACAATGACAATCTACAAACACGCTTGACAGAGAAGCTTGACATTGAGAATTTTCAAAACCACAGATTCATATATTATCTTTATAAACTGTATTCTGACAAAATTTTCCATTTCTCGGGATGGTTATTCTAATATAGTGAAGAAAAATCCCTGGGAGGGTTCTGCTTAAACAGCAGCTACTGAGAGGTAATTTATCTTATGCTCATCTATATTTGTAAGTCTATGCATCTATATACTTTTAAAGGGAATACCTGGCTCTGAATCAGTCTTTTCAACTCTCCCCTATTAGTCAATAATTAAATGAGCAAATTAAAGTTCATTGATGTACTGATAAAGTGACTGAAGCAACTGAGTTTTTCCTGTCCCTGGGTGAAGGGTGTGATGTGAAGTGGTGGACCATGGCTCTCTTATTCTTTCCTCATTTCAAATCAAGATGGGCCATGAAGGAAGATCAGTATAGTAGAGGAAAGGGACCTGGTTAGGGACAGGGGAGGGCAAGGGGAAATACTGGCAAATGATATTGGCCAAATTATATTGCATACATATACAAATATGCAACAACAAATTCCACCATTATGTACAACTATAATGCACCAATAAAAAAAATGGAAAAATAAATTTAAAAAATCAAGATGGACCAGACCCAAGACTCACATACTAGTTGTGATTTGGGTTCATAAGATGAGAGAGGAGAATGCTCTTGTTAACAATAGGAGTACAATCTGGAAGGCCTTAATTCCAACACGCCCACAAAGTGACTTTCCACTGGTGGTGAGAAGAAAAAGTCTATTGTTGCTAAGTCTGAATTGTAAATCAAAGATTATATTGACATTCTTTCAGGCTGATGGTGGGAAGATCTTCTTTTAAAAACAGTATCTGAAAATGAAAAGCCAAGGACTTTAATTTTAAATTAATGCATATGTTAAATGGTTTGCTTAATTTGGGATAGGACAATATGATTCTCTTCTCTAACTTCTTCTCACAAGTGCCAACATCTTCCTTGCACTGTCCTCCTCCTCAGTTTTATGGTTATATCATGTTCTGCCACTGAAACACATTTTTAAATTTCTATTTTTGTCACTGATAAAGCTAAAATTACAACTTCACACTAAATTAAATTCAAAAGCAAACACCTATTAGTCTTTATCAAAATGACATTTTACTGGTGCAAAAATAAATAAAAAAAAAGAACAAAAGAGAACAACTTTTAATGATGGTATTTAAAAATACAGCTTCCTGGGCTGGGGTTGTGGCTCAGTGGCAGAGTGTTTGCCTCACACCTGTGAGGCACTGGGTTCGATCCTTAGCACCACATAAAAATAAATAAACAATAAAGGTATATGTGCCCAACTACACCTAAGAAATAAAGATTTAAAATAAATAAATAAATAAACAAAATAAAGATATTTAAAAAATAATAATAAAATAAAAATACAGCTTCCCTTTCTGATACAAGCTCCTAGTTTGATTTATAGGACAATATAATACATTGTTAACCTGACAAATAATGAAATACTGAAATTAAGGCTCACAGAAGTACAAGATACACATTTCATGGATCAGAAAAAATGTCTCACAAAAGCAGGTCAACAGATCTTTTCAAAGGAACAAGGGAATGTGACAAACGGCTAATTCTGTTTTACAAAAAATCCTGCTCTAGTGAATGTTCTCATGTCCTCTTATACTCAGACTCATTTTGACGGATGTAAGTAATACTCTAAGCCCAGAGCTGTTTTCTTAAACTGAGGTGACTAATTCTCCACCTTATCCTAACACAAACAAGTACTGTGTTGAATAGAAGAAGCGGTATGACTTGGCCTATAGTGGGGTCTGACCTGGTCTGTCTTTATTAGGGTCTGACAGATGCCAAGTATCTAGCACATTTGAACAATCACTCAAAGGCATCTGAGTGCCTTTAGCCTGATGAGTTTCTCTTTCCTTTTGTTCATATCTGGCCAAATATCCCTAGTGGAGGTGTTTACACCAAATGAAACCATGGTGCACACAATAGCCATGTGTTCAAATGTGCCATCAGCAGATGGCATGTGGTTTGGCTGCTGAAAGTCTGTTTGAACCGAGAGTGGAACGTAATGTTTTCCCGATGTTAGGCTCATTCCAACAACCCATGAAGTTTTTGCTATATATGTCTATGTTTGAGGCTAGCAATAAAAATAAATAATTTATATTTGGCAGGTAATAAGCCCTGAAACTTGGTTTATTCAAGTATTATTCAAGTAACTCAAGTATTCAGGGTGAATGCAGATAGAAACTCACAAATTTAGATGTTTTCAAACCTTCTTTTATGTTATAATTGATAAAATGGGAACCCAAACTGCCTGATTATAACTGGTTTCCTTTCCAGTCTGAGAAATACATTTGGGGGACATCACAATCAATGACACAATCAGACAGAGAACCTAAGAATACCAGACAATTTGATTCCATTCTGGTTTTATAAAATGAAAGGACTGAGGCTTAGCAAGATTTAGTAACTTCCTCAAAATCATGTTGAATCAGAGTACAAAGAAACCAAGAGTTTCCACCATGATGGTGACAACTCATTTTAGAACAGGATGAACTCTGATATCAGATAGACCTGCATTCAAATATTAGCAAAACCAGGACTAAATAGTCCTTGGTCTCCTAGTTTCCAAATTTATTCTTATCACTACTGTAACATGCTACTGCTATGTCCTATCTCTGAGAACATGCTAACAGCATGTATTTTCTGTTTCCCATCCCTACTACTCTTTCCCAGTCTGATATTCATACTCTAGAAGGGACAGTAGAGTGAGTTAATTTAGAAAAAAAAAGTAAAGGAAATAGAAAGTAGCAGAGTGAGTCCAGACTTAGGGAAGGCTCATGAAAAACAAAGCTGGAGCATGAAAAGTGACCTGATCAGATGGATTTGCAGCAAGAAGAGGGTAGAAAGGATGCTCATGGTGAGACTTTGTTGTACAGAGAGGCCACTGAAGTCCTGGGGGATTCATATGAATCCTAATTATGACTAAGCACAAGCTATGCTGGAGAGGAAGTAAAAAAGAGGGCAAGGAAGCACTGGAGTAGGAGAAGAAGCAAAGAATCCCAGAGAAGCAGATCTGTGAGGGTGGCTGAGATACTTTTTAAGAGCAGAAGGAAAAGAGAACATCCATGAATATGCTTTTGGTCCTGGAAGATTCCCATCTCCCTTAAGAACAATTCAGGAATAGACTTCCTACTGCTTTGTATGGTTCTGTATTCTCTTTCCCCTCAAAGTTCAACCAAACCCAAATAGTTGTACAGCTCATCAGAGCACACAGAAACCAAGAGTTTTCACCATGATGGTGACAACTCATTTCAGAACAGGATGAACTCTGATATCATATGGACCTGCATTCAAATATTAGTTTTCCACTCACCAGCTATGTGACTACTTTGAGTAAATTACATAATTTCTCTAGGCATAAGTTTCTCCAAAGCTAACATTTATGGACTTGTTCAATCATCTACTAAGGCTAACTGTGTGTAATCCCTGGATTAGGAATTAATTCTTCTCACTACCTGAGAAGTGGACTACCCTGAGATCCTCTAAAGAGTTTGTTATTTGATGCAGACCTAACCATTTTTTATCAAATACCTGCTATAATGAGTGTAGTTTCTGAATTCCTTAATTATTAAGGGTTGCCCTATTCTTAAAAAATGACATAAACAGAAAGACCCAGGCGAAATTCTTCCATTAGGAATACTGGAAAAAAAAAAAAAAAAAACAACAGGGAATACTGAAGACACTTGCCTCATAACACATATACAAAGAAAAGAGTACTATGCAAAAATTGTACGTTATCATCACTTTCTTGAGTTCAAAGGGTTTTCGATTCTCCATGAGCTTTGGTCCCAGAGAAGTGACAAAATAGACATAGAGTCCCAGGATGATGGTTTGTGGCAGAGGCGAGGACATGAGGAGCCAATCTTCAACTCTTGGATCTAAGAGAAAAATAATATGTAAGTGCACACTTGCTTAGCTAAGAGATACGGACAGCAAACAACACTTCCTGAGGTAAGCACCTAGATTGCAATGCTGACAGTGTAGCTTTGGGCAGTGGTCACCAGTAACTTTAGGAAAGGTAGTGGGAAATCATCAGAGATGGTGGAACACCCCTGGCCTAGAAACAGTGAGGATGTTACCACCCTTGGATCTCAAGTAGTAAGCAGATCTCAGAAGGACTCATGTGGAGCAACTCTTCTGGGGAGGAACTGTGTTATAGAATGAAAGTCTGTGCCCTCCCAAAGTCCATATGTTGAAACCTTAACCCCCAATGGGAGGCTGATGGGCTTTTAGGAGGATGGAATCCTCATGAATGAGTTAGTGCCATTATAAAAGGGACCAGGGATTTTTCTTGACCTCGTTGTGCCATGTAAGGATATAGTGCAAGAAGACAGCAACCTGGAAGGAAGTTCTCACCAGAACCCTACCATGCTGACAACCTGATCTTGGACTTCTGGCTTTCAGAGCTGTGAGAAATAAATTTTTGTTGTTGGTGACAGACAACAAAGTAGGCTGAACAGACTGACAAGCTATGACCATCAGTTGGGCAGGATCTGGCCTGCCCAAGACAATTCTGCAAGTAAATGGCCAAAGGAATAGATACCTGAAGCCCACCCTCCCTCTCTCTGGTCTCCTGAGGTTCTTCATTGACTGAACCCAATCAGAAACCAGTGCACAAGGGTGTAAGCCCAAGATATAGTCCTACTAGTCATCCTCCAAGGGCCTAACACAGGGTTGAAGTAGATCTGGAGGAAAGGTCACCCCATAATGGTCCATCATCCATCTATAACCACTGTTAATATTCAAAAGTTGTTCATCCAGACATTCTTTTATACATAAAAATGTTTGTGTTTTCTGGCTTCTTAACTTTCTTCCTTCCCTAAGAAAACTGGCATATTTCCATATATTCTGAATCATAGAATCATAGAGTTGAAAGGGACCTTAGCATCATCTAAGTACCTAAAGTGTGAGCTCTGCATGTCCAAAATTTGGGCTAACCAACATGATACTTTGTGTGTGTGTGTGTGTGTCCTGGCCTTGCAATCATGTAAAGAGAAATTCACCCAGTCCTTGCCAGTTTCAGGCTGGCAAAGTGGGATTGATTAAAAACTTCAACTCAAGATGAAATGTGATTAGTTCTATAATTTGAAGTGTGATTCAAGTGGAATTTCACTGAATGGCCTCTTGAAGCCAGAGTATATGAATGAAAATAAGTATAGATAAGTTTCTAGTTATATCTGACTCAAAATTGACAAGACTTGGAATTTGAGTACTTTGATGAGCCAGAAAAGAAAAGTGGGGAAATGCAGGCCTTGCTTATTTAAATTGCGAATGATGAGGCCAATTACTGACAAACTTTGAGTTACCCCTGAAAGTTTGACTTCCCACCCCAGATTTCTTCAGTAGAGCTCTGTGATTGATGACTCACTGGGACTCACTTTTAGTGCTGGAAAGCTAACTTTTGAGAGTTGGCTGTACATGTAGCTAGTAAGATGATTTATCTTCATTCAAGTGGGCCTCCCTCAAAAATACTGACAGATGTCCCTGTGTCTAAATAAATAAAGCCAAAGAGTCAACATTTAGCTCTGAAATAGACCCTATGATACTTAGGAAATTAACTGATGATTAAAGAAGCCCCCAAAACAGAGGAGGCAGAGACTAGTCAACAAATGTTGATAGAAAATCTAGGATAGGAAAATTAGTTGATAGGAAAAATAAAGAGCAAATGGAGTTTGCTCTTTACTTCATATCCTAAACAAACATGCCCTTAACTATGTAATGGATGTAAGATATCTAAGGACTCTCCATAAATGTGGGGAGACTACTGAAATGCTGAGTCAAACAGGCTGCTTGCTGTAGGAGTTTAGTGCCTGTGTTCACTGTGAATGGACAAGGTGGAACAGTGGTATGTAGTATTCTCTAAACTTAATTGGCCATGAGACCCTGTTTTTTAATAGAATACCATTTAACATTGTATTGAACTAATGCTCTGTGCAACACAGTTTGGGAAGTAGAATTTATACATTTATTTGTTGTTTGTTTGTTGAGCCAGTAAAGATTAGGTAGTAATAAGTGAAGATAAATAGGAGCCTACTTTGAGAAGAAAATGTAAAATTTTTTAATTGGTTAAACACAGGGAATTAAACATAGATAGAAGCTAATAAAATATTCAAATTTTTAGAGTTTGGATAAAACTCTAGAACATCATTACACTGAGAACAGAGAATAAGAAGCCAGAATGGTCAGGCCAGAACACTTTATATTAAAGGTGCCTATAAAACATTTGTATGGAGATTTCCATAAGTAACTGGATATATAAATCTGGAATTAAGAATGAGATCTGAGTCAGAGATAAAGGCTTGGGGGTCATTGCCACATAAATGATGAACAATAAAACATTGAGACAGGCTAAAGTCAGAATTCTAAGGTCTTGACATTCACAGGAGGAGAGGTAGAAAAAGACAACTTAGAAGAAGACTGAGAAGCAATGGCTAGAGAGGTAGAAGGAACACCACAAAAGTGAGATCTCCTAAAGCTAATGAAGAGTGAATTTTTGGAAAGTATTAAATGAGGCAGAGAAAGAAAAAATGTGGACTGAAAAGTGCCACTAGGTCATTGATGCTCTTAGAAAGAATGATTTTAGCAAAGCATCATGCACAGAATAGAAATTCAACACAAGTTTGCTGACACACACTCTCAAAATTATGAAGTTCCAAAATTTAAGTTTTTTCCTATGTTATGGTTTGTCATAGTTTTAAATCTAGGAGGAAAAAATACAATCAGCTATTCGTGTATATGTCACTGAAATTTTCATTGATTCTATTAGTTTTCCTTCCTTATAAAAATAGAAGTTTCCTACTACTTCTGGTTGCCATGTGCAATTAAGATGGCCATAATAAACTCTGGCTATGGACTTATATGTTACTAGAGAAGTCTCGGTAAATAAAAGCTATAACAAAACTGTGGCCAGTAGAGAGAATTAAAACTGGTCAACCTTTGATGGCTTTCTTCTGTCAGTGGGTAACATAAACCTTAAATATGTGAACCTCATAAATCATAATATTCTGTCTAGCTTTTATTCCAAATAAAATAAAGACTAATTAAAGCAGTACCAAAACAAGACCTCTGGAAAGATGTTAAAATCACCACCTTGAATGATGAAGAGTACGAATGATTTTTTTCATTTTTTTCCTTTTCTTTATAAACAATTCCAAATGTTTCTCTTAACGTGTTTCAATGCATCCCATGTATGGTTAAAAACTAGGTTACTTTTTAAGTGTCAGCAAATTGATCCTTAATTAGAGATGTATTTCATTTTATTCTTTCACTGACTCAGCAAAGGGGGGAATCAAATGACATCATCTTTCTGTTCTTCCTCTGACAATAGTAAAAAAGAAAATACGCCAGGAAAAGCTTGCTGGGCTGACTCAGGAAGCAGAATTCCTGTAATTTAACATTTTCAGCACACACCTTGTCTTAAAATCTTGTATGTGACTTTCAAGTTCTAAGGATAAAAAATTATCATGGAAAAATCTGGTTAATTTAATTGGATGCTGTTTGCAAATAATAAAATAAAATACCCAGCTTTAAAAACCCTATTTTAGCAGAACTCTGGTGTCATTGGGTCTGTGTTATGACCCTGGCTCTCCCCAAGGCCTGCTATGTAACCTTGGGCAATGGACCTGACTTCTATATACTAACTTTTAAAAAAATCTTTGCATTGGCATAAAGTAACACATATTTCATGATGAATTGAATAAATTTTATGCAAAGAAGTCAAGGACTCAGTAAACTTGCTATTGTTATTACAGCATAGCTCAATTCTGTCAGCACAGCAGAATCACTTCCAGAGCATTTATATAATTTATATATTATATAGTCATCTGACTATAGATGACTATATAATATATAAATCCTGGTCCAACTGATTCAGAGTCCTAGAACATGAGGACCAGGTGTCTGAATTTTTAAAAATCTGCCATTAAAAAATAATGGGCAAAGGACTTGAATAGACATTTTTCAAAAAAGACAAACAAAATGGCCTACAGATATACGGAAATAATGCTCAACATCACATCAGGGAACTGTAAATCAAAATAATATCACCTCACACCGATGGGAATGGTTACTATCAGAGAGGCTAAAGACAGCAATTTCTCACTAGGGTGTCAAGAACAGGGAACCCTTGTACACTCAGGATGAGGAAGTAAAATAGTACAATCCTTATGGAAAAATATACAGAGGTTCCTCAAAAAAATTAAAAATAGATATACCATATGGCCTGGCAATCCAATTTCTGGGTATATGTCCAAAGAAAATTAAATTAGTATGTATGTTGAAGATCTATCTGTATTCTCAGGTTTGCTGCAGCATTATTTGCAATAGTCAAGATACAGAATAAACTCAGATGTCCATCAACAGATGAACAGATAGAGAAAATGTAATATATATGTACATACCCACACAAAAATATTATTTAACCTTAAAAAGAAAGAAAAGCCTGTCATTTGTAACCACATGAGTAGTCTAGGAAGACATTTTTATGCTTGGTGAAAGAAGTCAGACACAGAAAGATAGATACCATATGATCTCACTTCTATGTGAAATCTAAAACCCTAGAACTCATAGAAATGGAGTAGAAAGGGCTGAGGTTGTGGCTCAGCAGTAGAGCGCTTGCCTTGCACATGTGAGACCCTGGGTTCAATCCTCAACACCACATAAAAATAAATAAACAAAATAAAAATATTGTGTCCATGTATAACTAAAAAATATTTAAAAAAAGAAAGAAATGGAGTGAAAAGGTAGTTACTAGAGGCTGGAGGGAAAATGAAAAGGGGGAAATGTTGGTCAAAGGGTTCAAACTTTCAAACAGGAAAATTTTTTTTTTAATTTACTGCATAGCACGGTAACTATAGTTAATATTAATGCATTACGTATTTTAAGAAGGTTAACAGTAATTTTTTTTCTGGTACCAGGAATTTAATTCAGGGGCACTTAACCACTGAACCACATTCCCATCCCTTTTTATTTTTTATTTTGAGACAGGGTCTCACTAAGTTGCTTAGGGCCTCACTAAGTTGCTGAGGCTGGCTTTGAACTTGCAATTCTCCTGCCTCAGTCTCCCTTGTTGCTAAGATTACAGATGTGCACCACCATGCCCAGCCAGAATAATTTTCAAATGTTCTCACCACCAAAAAAGATCAGAATTTGAAGTGCAATCACTTCAAATTGTGCTGATTACCTTAGTCCAATCATTCCACAATGTATCCACCTACCACGGACATCACTTTGTGCCCCATTACAATTATAATTTGTCAATATATAATAATTTCTTAAGTTTGTTGAGATGATCATGATGACTGTCAGAGTTAAGAACCAGGGATCTGGTGGGTGACAAAGTCCCCTAAACTCAGTGCTGCAGCATTCCTCACTAGGTGCTGGACAGTCTTTATGTACATTCCCTGCCTCCATTTAATCTGTGATAGTCATCTTCTGTACAATTGCTAAAGTCACTTTCTACAAGTAAAGCTCTGTTAGATTATTCTCTTGCTTAAATTAGCTCTCCCTCATAGAGAAGATAAAATTCAAAGATGTACATAACTCTGACTCTAGTTCAATTTTCCTACCTTGTCTTTTAGCAATAGTTACACACCTTTCCAAAAAGGGAGTCTACTTCCCAGAGAGGTTAGTAGAACTCTCCCCATGAGATAGGTACCTACAGGCATGGATGACTTGATAGGGGGGTTTTGGAAGCCACTATGCAATAACATTTAAAGTTACTTCTGACTCAATCTATGATTCCACAAATTGCATCAGGTTCAGGGGTGAGTGCTCTCTGGTTTCCCCAGAGACAAAGGCTAATGAGGGAGGGAAGGTTTCATGTATCTCTATTTGGCATTGGAGTTGGTTTAAGTATCATGAATGGAGCCAAAGCAGAGGATGGGAAGACAGTCCATCTGACCACCTATACCCCAGAGACTACCAAAGTTCTGATTTGCCACTAGCTTAATAATCCTTTTCTAAGAGTTCCAGAGAAAGGGGGAGGAAGGGAGAGAGGGAGAGAGAGAGGAGAAAGGAGAGGGGAGGGAATGGAGAAAGCACAATGCTGAATTTATAGAATATTAATGAGCTTTTCCATCAACTAATAAGACAGTGTTCTCTTCTTAAGTAGCATGTACTAGATCAAAGAGTACCCCCTTAAAGATTCCAAGCACCAATAAAATAAAGAAGCTGGAAGGAAAAGCAAACATGTACCTCAAGTACTTTCTAAAGCACCAAAGATTCAGAATGGCAGCAATCTTACTTGTACTACATCTTTTGCAAAAAAAAAAAAAAAAAAAAAAAGCCAACTAAGTCTGAAAAGCCATTCCTACCATCCAAATACAAAGAAAGCTGCTTTTTAATCATCAAAACCTTTCTCACTTCTATATCTAGGGTACCTCCCAAAAAATAATTTAATAATCATTGTAAAATCCTCTTGTAGCTTAAATATTAATTAAGCCACCTTAAAATTTTGTGCTGTGGAATTTTCCACATGAAATAACCAGGCATGAATACCACTTCTCCAGCAATCAGAAAACCAATGAATAGCTGTAAGTTTTCCCAAGGCTACTCAGGATTAGGGCCAATGCCAAGAATATACTTGAAATTCTTGGCCCTTGATCATGGAGTCAGACCTTCCTGGGGTAAGCACAGTAAAACTGGGCTAAAAGGACCAGAAATGATTCCTAATGCCTCTCAGAGATCAATATCACACTAAGAAGAAGAAAAAAACTCTCCTGTTATTCCTGACAGGATTTTCATAAAGTTGTACATCTCAACATAAAACCTTTTAACTATACGTTAAGACATGATAGAAAAAAATAAAAATAATTTTAAAAGTGATATGCTATATTAAAAATATTTACAGATGCAATCCTCTGTCATCTGTAACAATTGTCACCACTATTTGTGTTGGGGTACCTCCCAAACAACAAAGTAATTTCTGCATATTATCAAGTAGCTGGTAGGTATTATTCTCACCTTTGTTTAACTCATAAAGCAACTGAAACCCATAGATGATAATAATTTGTTCAAGATTACCTAGTTGGTCCACAGTAGCAAAGAATCTTGATTTAGGTCTTCTACATTCCTCATTCCACATCCCATGCCCTCTGTCCTCTTCCCAAGACTTCATATTAACATAACTTCAGACAGTGGCTTTCTCTTTGGTCTCCTGGCCTCTCTCTCCTCTCATCTTCCCTGTTCTATTTGCAATGCTGTTTCTACGATCCTCCCTACTCTCCATGTTTAAGCACCTCCAGCTCCTTATCAGTCCACTGTCTTATCTAAAAGGCTCAACTTTTCAATAGAAATATTACTAATAAAAAGCAAAAAGTGGATCCACAGATAAAGATGGAAGTAGAATTCTGAAGTAGCTCATACTAAAACATTTTGTACTTCTAGTACCATATAAATATTCACCATCATTTAAGTCCAAATTTGGCTCTTAAGTGAGGATATTGATTATCTGAATCTCTTGAGTTCTTACATTTGGAATAGTCTATTAAGCTTCTGAGTTAAAATATTGATTATTTGAATCTCTTGGGTTCCTGCGTTTGAAACAGTAAAAGCAAGATTTGGATCATAAGAAATCTGCTCTTCCAAATATACCAATTCAAAAATTGTACCCAAATCCACTTGGTTTTCCAAGTATGAATAGTGAGAGTTCAGTTATCAATGTATATCTCTACTTCAAAAACAACTAAAATTTTAGCATTTAAGTTAAATATTGAGTTTATGAGAAATTATAAACCTTCAGAGAAAGCTGACCTGTCAAGAAATCTATAAGTTTTCTGTGTCACTGTGTAAGTTGAAAAACTCAGGAAAAAAAGGAAACAGTCATTTTCTATCCCCTACTACAGAAGAACTTACTTATGGGATACTAAAAAGATCCCTGGCATTCTTTGGGGACAAAGTTGTTGGGATCTACTTTAGTGAAAGAAAATTGGTCTTTAGCAGTCTACTGAGAAAGATGTCAACCATGAAACAGTATGTCTTTGCTAAAATCATTGCAGACTGAGATATAATTTAACTGTGTTAGATGCTAAGAGGTGGCACTTTTTCCCTCCTGAATTGGTGGACATGTGATTTCTGGATAAGAAAAACCAAGTGGTACTTAAAGTGATGCTGGTGGTAAATATGTGCAACTGTCACTCAGAAATAGATATTATATACCAGAATACTAATCAAAAAAGAAAACACAAGTTCTAGTCTTTTCTTTTTCTTTTTTTTTAAATACTGTTTAGTTTTCAATGGATTTTAATTTATTTATATGTGGTGCTGAGAATCGAACCCAGTGCCTCACACATGCTAGGCAAGCACTCTGCCACTGAGCCACAACTCCAGCCCTAGTCTTTTCTACCATCAACTAAACATGACCTTATACAGGTCATATCACTGGGTCTCAATTTCTACTCTAAAATGAGACATTCACTTCAATTATATATAAATTCATGTAATCACTAATATGCTCTGATTACTTGCCTATTTAAAAATTTTCCTTTGTTCTAATTTAAAGCACTGGTTAATAGTTATAAAAAACAACATGTACTGGTGTAGTTTAAAAAAACACAGACATAGGCTAGGGTTGTAGCTCAGTGGTTGAGCGTGGTTTGCCATGCATGCGTGAGGCAGTAGGTTCGATCCTCAGCACCACATAAAAATAAATAAATAAAACAAAGATATTGAGTCCATCTACAACTAAAAAAAAATTAAAAACACAGACATAGATAAGTAAATAAAAATCAGGCTATGTGTATAGCACAATGGTATATAGAGTACAGGCTGAGTATATGCAAGGTCCTGGGGTTTAATTCCCAGCACCCAAAAATAAAAGAAAATAACCCATAATTCCACCCCAGAAATAACTATTTACCTTACTAAAAAGATACATGTGGTACCTTATACCATGCTTTCATTTAACATGTTTTAAACTTCTTGGTATGACATTAAATGTTCTTCTAAAACATCAATTTTTTTAGTTGTTGATGGGCATTTATTTTTTTTTAATTTATTTATATGCACTAAAATTGAACCCAGTGCCTCACACATGTTAGGCAAGTGCTATGCCACTGAGCCACGAACCCAACCCTTGAATTTTTTTTTTTTAATCAGCAAGGGGAGAAGGCAGACACCCTAGAGACACTTAGGGGTGTCCCAAGCAAATGCTTCATGCTCTGATATCCATCTCAGGGCTGCAGCTCTTCCATTCATGAATCACTGTGTACAGTGCTGCTATCGGCAATAATTATAACTTCTCTGAGAATCAGAGGACAGAATCAAGCCAAAGAACGCTGTCCCTCTAAAATTACTTTCAATGGCTACTAAGTTGGAATGTTCTATCATTTATTAGCCAATTCCTTTCACTGGATATATTTAGGATATTTTCAGTCTTATAAACACTGTAATGAATATCTGTGTAGCTCCATCTCTGTATATATCTGTAATGAAACCATTGACACTTCCTCACTTACTCTTGGTTGACTACTAATAAGAAATTGCAAAGTCTCTCATTCTGTTGAAATCCTATCAATATGAGAATCTCTTTTACTAGGGGGCAGGGGGTTACCAGTGATGGAACCCAAGGGGAACTTAACCATTGAGCCACACCTCTAGCCTTTCCTTTTCATTTTTTATTTTGAGACAGGGTCTCATAAGTTGCTTAGGGTCTCACTAAGTTGCTGAGGCTGGCTTTGAACTTGCAATCCTCCTGCCTCAGCTTCCTGAACTGCTGGGATTACGACCATGAGCCAAGAATCTGACATAAAAAGGAAGGATAAGACTTGATTGGGAAATTTGATTACTCACCAGCATCTTTGATAAAATTATCATAAAAACGCACGGTCCTCGATGTAAGATCACTGAAGGCCATTTTCCACAGATTTACTGGCTCTTTTAATGGATTCTTCAGAGAAAAAAAAAAACCGAGTTGATGATCTATAAATGAAATAAAGATAAGCTTTTAGTAATACAATATTAAAAATGCTAAAAATTTAATAGGAAAACCTGGCAGAGCAACAAACTTCTACTGAGGGTAAATGCATTAGTGAACCATATTAAGCCCTGATGCAGTTGCAAACATTACAGATGTCCTCTTCTTCTAGGGCCACTGCTAACTTCACTGAAAAAAAGGCTGACAATGTATGTACAAAACACAAAAGAAGTAAATGATTCCCAGAACTTTTATAGGCACAACATAGGTCAGGAGCAGACAGCACCTATGATAGCGAAGCTGATGTAAAAACCCAGGAGAATAAAGTCAAGATGATACACAAACTTTCAGAAAAGGTACAATAATCCTAGACTTTCAGCTCATCAGCCCCAATAAGATCTTCTATGTGCAAGTTTTTATAATTTAAGTGGAATAGAGGCCGAAAGAGGGAGGAAAAGACCTTGAAGAGTCAAGAGGAAGCCGTTTCATTTATCTGGACAGGCAGACAAAGAAAACTGGAAAAAAAATCTTCAGAAAAAAGCAACTATCAGGAGAAACTAAGACTACTGTGCTGTATAATAAAGGGTATTATAAATCTTCAATAATTAAAATAGTGCAGCATTGGCACATGAAAAGACAAATTAATGGAACAGAATAGAACATTCAGAAATATACCAAATACATTTGGGGATTTAAAACTACATTCCAGTAATTCTAAGACATATGCTTTCCCACATCTCTGAAATCAGGGTACACCTTACCAATGGATGATGTGTCATAAAATTAATGGTGTGTTTTATTTAAAGCCATATGGCAGAAAGATGAAAAGTCCTACAGCAGGATGGTAGAAGTAGTTGCAAACAATGTAAATGTACTTATGGCCACCAAACTTCACATTTTACAATGGTTTAAATGATACATTTTATATTATATATACTTGTTCTAAGAAAACTGAGACTTTATTCTAAAGAAAGAAAGTCATTTTATTTACATAAAGATAAATAAATAAGACATAGTATATGATAAAGGGGGCATCTGAAATCAATGGGCACCGAACTACTAGCAGTTACTTAATAAATGGCAGGGTACAACTGGATAGCCATCTTTAAAAAGTGAGCTGAATTCAAACATTGTATTATAAGCCAAGATAAACTCTAAATAGATCAAATATTTAGCTAAGAAAAACAGAACCATGAAAGCACTAGATGACAACATCTAAGAAGACATTTATAACTTTGGCATGAGAAAGACCTTTCTATGACTCGAAACTCAGAAGACAAAAGAGAAGGTTAACAAATTAACTATATGAAAATCAAGAAGAAACACAGATGGTGTCGTAAGGACAGAGCTCTGAAGAAGCGTGGAGAGTTCAAACAACAACAATAAGTAAATAAATATAAAACAAGGCAGCTGATGCTGGCTCCTGAGAAAGGGGCAGAGACCAGCAGCATCAAACCAGGGTAATGGGTGGTAAAGTCCTTCTCCCGTGTGAGTGTTTGTGTCTGTGTGTCTGAGGGGGAGATTATTGAAAAGAGTCACTCTGGGTTTTGACTCTGGGGAACTGAAGTCAGATGGGAGTCTCAGTTCCTACTGTCATAGGGAGGGAAAACCTCTGAGATAAGAATTCCAAGATTGCTAGGGAAATTTCCACCGAGATATTAATCAGTGTGGTTCCTGTATTCTTGTTGGAACTGGTTTCTCCATCCTACCCCACCCTCTCTATTTAAACAGAAACAAAGCTTCAAAGAAGTCCTGGAGCACGCTAGACAGAAATATCTGGATGTGTGAGTATGTTCCTTTCCAATGATTTAGTAAGGTCAGAAACACTGAAATATATTAAAATGTGAGGGAGGACTACAAAGTGATAACCAGTTTAAAGCAGGATTTTTCTATCTTGACAGTATTGACATTTGGGCCAGATAATTCTTACTTGTGGGGACTTGTCCTAAGCATTGTACAATGTTTGGAACCAATCCTAGCTTCTGTGCACAAGACAGATGCCAGGAACCCAATAATGTCTCCACAAATTGTCAAAACTCCTATGGAGGGCAAAACTGTCCAAGGTTGTACATCACCGATTTAAAGTAATTTAGCAACATGTATTCATCCAAATAACAGTATTTGCCTTAAAGTAGTCACTTTGGCAAATGTAGACTCATTTCAGTGATGCTGTTGTTCAAAACAATTTTTGAGCTTTTCTTTATAAATTAACTTCAGAGTTTTCATCATTTTTTAAAATGGTCTTATGGGAGAAAAACCTTTGCCTACTACTTCCAAAAAGCAAATTCATAACTACAAGTTAAGAATGGTTTTGAGGGGCTGGGATGTGTGGCTCAAGCGGTAGCGTGCTCGCCTGGCATGCGTGCGGCCGGGGTTCGATCCTCAGCACCACATACAAAGATGTTGTGTCCGCTGAAAACTAAAAAATAAATATTAAAATTCTTTCTCTCTCTCTCTCTCTCTTAAAAAAAAAAAAAGAATGGTTTTGAGAAGCTGGAGTTGTGGCTCAGTGGTAGAGCTCTTCCCTGGCCTGTATGAGGCACTGGGCTCAATCATCAGGACCATGTAAAAAATAAACAAAGTTATTATGTTCATTTACAGTTAAAACAAAAACAAAAAAGAATGGTTTTGAGGTAAATGTATCAAGTTGAGTCACACTTTATCAGTGGGGTGAAGAAGAAGCAGGCTTAATGATAAATAATTTACTACTGACATTTTCAGCTTATGGTTTATAAGATAAGACCAACTCCAACAAACAAAGCCAGAAATGTTTTGGGTTATGACAATATTAGTGAAATAAATGTATAGTTTCCTGAGGTGGCTATTTTTAAGGTACCACTCATTTAGATATATATTTATTTAGGCAAAATAATATAAACTATTTTTTCTTCCTCATCCATTGCAAATCCCCAATAAAAGCAGGTGAATTTAGAATGTGAAACAGACCAGTGAAAATCATTTCAAATAACAAACGTTCAAATTTGTTAATAATTACTATATATGTACATGTGTGCTGTAATATTATATATGTATATACACACACACACACACACATATATATATATAAACACATACACATATACACACTCATTACAGAAGCAAAAATGTGTGTACACCACACCTACCACAAAGGAGTTTGCATTTTGTTCTGACAGTTCATATTAACTTACATTTCTCCTTGGTAATTCCTTTATTGTCCTCCTTTCTTGCCATTTCTCTCAATTTAACCTTGGTTATGCACTTTGCCAATAGGGGTCAGGCCTTGTTGCCAGGGTAGAGCTGGGACAGGCTGAGAGGGCCTAGGCAGGCACAGACTTTCTTCTGCTCCAGTGTGGTGCCAGAGCAGCAGAAAGACTTCTTAGTACCCCCATTCAACATGGAAGTATTTCAGAAGAGCCATAGAGAATGAAGGAGTCACATGGGTACAAACAACATGTATCTCTTTAGACAAGTGCCCAAAGACCTGATGGGACTCTGGATATTCAAAGGATGGCAATGTAGCTGAAATAGCAAAGAACATGATAGGGGGTAGGGTGGGGGGCTAAAATGTTCCTCTTTGCAATGACCTTGATACTACATAAGCTCCTTGTAACTTGCTAAGGAATGGGGGAAGATACTCTCTACCACCCCCCAAAATAAAAGTTATGTCCTTATAGAGGAAAAAATAGACTTAAAGTCAAAAACTGTTGCAAGAGACAAATCATACTGTGATGATAAATGGGACAAGTAATCAAGAGACTATAATAATTATAAATATGTATGCACCTAACATCAGAGCACCTAAGCTATTAAATATATTAAAATCAAATATTACAATATGAAGGGAGAAATAGGCTGGAATACTATTGAAATTAATAAGGAAACATAGGACTTAAAGTATGCTTTAGAACAAATGAACTTAACAGACATATATAGAACATTCTATTCAACAATAGCAGAATACACATTCTATTCAAGTGCACACAGAACATTCTCCATCATACACTATATGTTGGACCACAACACAAGTCTTAAGAAATTTAAGAAGACTGCTAGACACAGTCGTGCACACCTGTAATCCCAGTTACTCAAGAGGCTAAGGCAGGAGGATCACAAGTTAGAGGTCAGCCTCAGCAATTTAGCATGATCCTAAGAAACCCATTCTTAAAATAAAACAATAAAAACATCTGGAGATATGGCTCAGTGGTAAAGCACTCATGGGTTCAAACCTCAGTACCAAACCCAAACACACACACACACACACACACACACACACACACACCAAAAAAAAAAAAAAAGAAAGAAAAGGAAAAAAAGAAAGAAGAAAGAAAAAAAAAGAAAGGAACAAAGAAATTTAAGAAGACTGAAATCACAACCACAATGGTATGAATGTACAAATCAGTAACAGGAGGGGAAATGGAAAATTCACAAATATGTAGAAAGTAAACAATGTGCTCCTGGACAATGAATAGGTCAAAGAAGAAACCAAAAGGAAAAATTTGAAATATCTTAAGACAAAGGATGTTGAAAACACAACTCACCAAAACGTAGAGAATGTAGCAGTTCTAAGAGGTAAGTTTATACCACTAAATGCCTATATTAGAAAAGAAGGAGTTCAAATTTTTAAAACCCTAACATTACACCTCAAGGAATGAGAAAAACAAACTAGTCCAAAGCCAGCAGAAGCAGATTACAGTAGAAATAAATGAATACTAGAATGACAATAAAATAAAGTAACTAAAAACATAGGGTTGGTTTTATGAAAGGAAAAAATTGAAAAAAAAATTCTTTAACCAGAGTAAGAAAAAGACAACTCAAATAAACATGAAAAATGAAAAAGGAGCTATTACAACAGACACCAGAGAAATACAAAGGGGTCAGGTCAGTAGAGATTTTTTCTGTTTGCTGTATTTCTTATATAAGTCAGTGGTTCCCAAATCTGGTTGAAAATCAGAATCATTGGATTTGGATTCAGTTAGCGTTTGGGGGAGTTCGGATGATGGGCAAGGTTTGGGAACCTCTAATA